CTTTAGCGACCCTGACGGGCAACGGAAGGAGGGCCTCAGGTGGCGGGGGGCGGTCTGCAGACCCTCATCTCTGTCCCGCATACCGAAGACCCCCGCTTTGGTGGCTCTTCTCCTGCAGTGGAGGCAGTGAGCTTGAGTGTGACGTCCCCAGGGCTGGGCGTGGGGGACCTGGGGGACCAACACAGAGCCGCGGCAGGATCCTGGGCAAGCCACTTCCCCTTTCCGGGCCTCAGTTTCCCCATCGGTAAAATGAAGTTACAGAATGTGGACTTCCGAGGGCCCTTTGAATTCTAGGAGTCTGTCTATTGAGGTATAAATTCTTCTGTCTCCGTCTCACACGTGCCACTTCTGCCCCCCTCCCTCCCTTTGCTGGCGGGACCCCCACTTCCTGTTCAGCTCCCCTTCTGCCCCTTGTGGCTGCCAGCCCGTGGCCGCGGTGCTGAGGACGCGTCTCCGGGACATTCTTTGCGCCAGAGTCCATGTTGAGTCCTTAGTTCACGCTTTCTCTCTGAATCCTCTCAGCTCTCCTGGGAGGCGGGAATAATCATCACCGCCCCTTGACGGTAGGGAAACTGAGACTCAGAACAGTTCAGGGCCTTGCCTGAGGTCATGCCACTGAGAAAACTTCTAGATGAAAACCATCCCCCCTGACCGAGGCATCACGACGGGTGGGTGGCTCTTGGAGAGGTGCCTTGACAGGACACTCGGCCCAAGGGAACCCCGTGAGGGGTTACCCCGAAGTCTGAATATGCCGGCCACCTACTATGCGCTGGTCGAGTGCGAAGCCTCAGCTCATTTAATGATGTAAAGCCTGCAGTGAGTCTATGACCAGGGCACTATCATCCCCATTTTCCAGGTAGGAGAAGCAAGACCCGGGAGGTGAGAACTGGCCACAATTGTACATCTACAAGAGTGGTTTGTTTTCATGTTTCTGACTCCAGAGCCCCTGCTAGAAAGCCCTGGCCCCAGTGTAAAGAACACTCCCCATACCCCCTGAAGCCTGGAGACCCAATAGAACACCATTGGGCTAGACTCCTCTTCATCTCCCAGGAACCGGGCCACCCCGTATGGTTGGGCAGGTTGGGCACTGCACAGGCACAACCTACAGGGAAGGTGGTGCCTGAAAGCCAGCCCGTGCTCTGCCCTCTGGATGGAAGTGCCTCTCTCTGCCCAGAGGAAGGAGAGAGCGCCTTTTCCTGATGTGCACAGAGGTGCCAAAAGCTAGTGGCAGCCCCAGCAAAATCGTGTCCCCTTTACGGTCCCATGGGGCTACCAGGGGTGGCCATCGGTGGCTGCTTCCGTGGCACCTGAGGTCCTGCTAAGAGCCCAGGGAGCGGGAATCAGTTTAGCAAGTGTGGCTCTCGGCTTTGTTTACACTCCCGTGAGGGGGACGAGCCTTTGTTCGCCTGCAGGAAGTGTCTGTCAGTCTGTGCAGAACTGTGTCCCCTAGCCTAGCGGAGAGTTCTACGTAGATGAATCATTCCATGACCACGAATGGCTTTGATGGGGACGGGGAACAGACATTGGAGCCTTTTCAAAAGCAGATAAAGAGCCCCTCATTGATGACTTTGCTCCTTCCCTGTGCCGCGTCCCCAGGCCATTACTGGTCTCCAGTTTTTCCACGTCAGGCTTGCAGCTCCTCAACACTGGCGAGGTTTGAGAGGCCTGTGGCTTATTAGGGCTGCCAAAAGCCGGGTCCGTCTCGGCTGCCATTTATTGAGCATTTACTATGTGCTAAACACTCATGTTCCTGCCAGGAACTAGATGGTCATTGAACACCTGAGTGCCAGATACGGTCTAAGCCACTAACTCCTCTAATCCTCCACGATAGTCCAATGACCGAGGCATTGCTATCATTACTCTTACAATTGATGCAACCTGGCACAGAGAGGTTGGGTAGCTTGGCCAGAGTCACACTGCTAGGACAGGGCAGAGCTGGGAGTCAAACCCAGGCGGTCTGGGTCCTGAGGCTCCACTCTTTTTTTTTTTTTTTAATGTTTTCTTTTAAATTTATTTTTTATTTTTTACATTTGTTTATTTTGAGAGACAGTGACAGAGCACTAGTGGGGGAGGGGCAGAGAGAGAAGGAGACACAGAATCCGAAGCAGGCTCCAGGCTGTGAGCTGTCAGCACACAGCCCGACGCGGGGCTCGAACTCACAAACTGTGAGATCATGACCTGAGCCGAAGTCAGACGCTTAACCGACAGCCACCCGGGTGCCCCCTGAGGCTCCACTCTTAACCACAGCTTCTCAGTATATATTGGAAATACTTCACACATCTTATCCATTTAACCCTGTAAGGTGACTAGCCCCATTTTACAGGTAAGGAAACAGGCTCAGAGAGGGGAAGAGACTCATTCAGTATCACACCGCTCCCCCTTACCAGCCCTAGACTAAAACCCAGGTCTGTCTGATTCCAGAGTTCTCTACAGTATTGCCTCCAGCGTTTGTTTGATTGACGGAGCTTAAGCACCAAATAAACTTTCTTTTTAAGGCTGAAAACAACAGCCTTTATACCTCAGGGAGGGTCTTGGCCTCCCATTCAAGTATTTGTTTTTTTGTTTTTTTTTTTTAATTTTTTTTTTACATTTATTTTTGAGAAACAGAGTGAGACAAAGCGTGAACGGGGGAGGGGCAGAGAGAGTAGGAGACACAGAATCTGAAGCAGGCTTCAGGCTCTGAGCAAGTGGTCAGCACAGAGCCTGATGTGGGGCTCGAACCCACGAACTGTGAGATCATGACCTGAGCCGAAGTCAGACGCTCAACCGACTGAGCCACCAAGGCGACCCCCATTCAAATATTTGAATGGAGCATTCTGTTTTCTGGAGAAATTGAGGGGCCAGATTTTTTTTTCCTCCCTCCCAGCATTTTATGATGGAAAAATGTCCAACCTCCAGGAAATTAAAAAAAAAAAAAAAAAAAAAAAAAAAAGGAATCCTACCGTAAACACCCATAATGTGTCCCATAGATTTCACATTTGTCAACATTCTGTTACATTTATCCTCCACCTCCCATTTCGCCATCCTCGGTCCTTGTCTTCGTCATGCGTTTCAAGGTACGGTTGACCCTTGAACAAGTCGGGTTGGGGTGGTGCTGACACCCTGCACAGCCGAAAATCCACATGTCACTTCTGACTCCCCCCAAAACTTAACTACCAACGGCTTGCTCTTGATTTGCAAGCCTCAATGCTCCGTGTATCGTATGCTGTGTCACAGTAAATACGCTAGAGAAAAAAAAAGTGTTAAGAAAATCTTCAGGAAAACACATTTAGGGTAGCCTATTGGATTTATTAAAAAATC